AAATATAAATTCATGGAGAATTCTTGTTATTTAAAGATTGTAAGTTTTATCCAACGCTCTAAGTAATTGAATACAATTCTTTCCTATTTTAAAATTAGGTTTAATGTTCATTTGAGCATTGAAACACATTATAGTTTTTAGTAATATTACAGCGACACCAAAATGATAGAAATTTTGTGACATTTTTCAGAAGCAAAATTGAATTCTTCTTTGAATTCTAATTGGTATGTTTTAAAAATGAAATGTTTAGAAAATTTGAAGGATAAAAAATGTAAAAGCACACTAATACATATAAAAATGAATATTTTGAACAGATACATGGTATATTTTTGAAACTGGTTGATTTCCCGAATTCAAATCAATTTACAGAATATAAAAAAATTTAAAAATGCAAAGCAAAAAACTCACATTTTTTCGTACGTAAGAAGATTAGATTAGCCATAGCTTGCTCATTTTTAATTTCTAACTCTGCAAATTGCTTTAAATTCCGATTTACACACAGAATTTATTGCAGATACCCATATCAAAATGCTTTTCCAGTTTGATTTTTACTTACCTAGTGAATTTTTAAATTTTGTTTGAACCTAATCTGAGGGAGCCATTTATTGTAGAAAAGGTTTTTAAATTATGCCTTAAAGTTCCTAGTAGAATACAATTTTGCTTCTGTAAAATTATTTCAGAAAAGTTTCACAAAATTGCGCACGCTTGAATGATAGTTTTCATAAAAAAGTTTTTTTTTAATAAAATTTACTTGCTATATACATCAATAGCCTATGGACTATATGGTGCCAATATTTTAATTCATGCGGTGGTAGCCGATTATATCAATAATGTGAAGACGACATTTTTATTTTAGATTTTTTCGAATTACAAATTTACAAGTAATTAAAGAGAGGCCTTTTTAATTGACACCTTATCTTTTTTCACATGTTTTTATATTGTGTATCTAAGCTTGATATAAAAAAATTGAAATCAAAAGTCGTCTTTATTATATCAATATATAATCGCCTACAACCGTATTTCAAGAGTAATTTGTTTTTTTGAGCGCTTAAAATACTCACTTTCAATGGTAATGCCTAAAAAAAATACAAGGGGGCCCCTGCACCTCCTGCACCCCTCCTTCCTCGCTCACAAGTTTCGCAATTGGTACTCACCCCATCTCAGTTTTATTGGGAGTTTGACCCCCACCCTTTTCATAGAGGTGGATCCGCCCCTCCCCCCGGGTGTTCCCTTGGACCCTATTTCCCCCATGAGCTTCGAGCCCCTTATTTTTAGTAATTTAACCTAATTGGTAAAAATGAACATGATTTAAGTGCAAATGATTGAACTGAACCTGAAATATGTCCCTACTTTCTGTACACTCTGTATACAGTTGTACACTGTACAGTCAGGGACGTGTTCAGGAATTTGTCCAGGGGGGGCTTAAATTTTGTTTCTCTTTCCAGGGGGCTCAGCACCCGTTGGGGCCTGAAAACCCCCCGGAAATCAATAGATTTCACTGGTCAAGGGGGGCTTTTCCCCCGTAGCCCCCTCCCCCTGAATACGCCTCTGTGTACGTGTCTGTATCTTATAAATTATTTATTTTACTTCGATTATTTAACTGCGTAGAACCTACATATTTTATCACAAAAACAATACAGCCAGAAACTGTGTAGACTCTTGAAATGAAAACTTTAGAATTTAAGATATTAATCTCGGCATTGTGCGTAATTCCATGTATTGCATGCCAAATAAGGCAGTGCTCCCTATTATTTCTAATTTTAACCTGTATTAATCGTTGAGATCTAAGCCATTCTTGGTGCTAAGTATATATTTATATCCTGCAAGTGAAATGAAGGCTTGTAAAGATCAGTTCCCATAAATAACCAGCTGTATAACACTTCATATTGGTGAATTTTAGACTTTAAAGGTTTAAAATGACTGATGATGGCGAAATCTGTCCTCCGGAGGGTAAAACAAGCTTCTCTGGGATTCCCGAGTCACAATTCATCGTAGATGTCGAAGCTTTTATGAAAGTATGAACTTCTAGTTTCTAGGATCCATCCTAGTATTCGATTTTTGTCAAAATCTAGGAAACTACTGTTACTGTCCAATCTAGCCGACTCGTTTAATTGAATTAACAAATGAATATCACATTTCTGGGGTGTATATTTTCCTAAAAAATTATCCCCCCCTTTTATAATTTTTCCCCAGGAGTTATATAATAAAGGAGGACTTTTATGCTTTCTCTCAACTGTCTTTTTAATTGGGACACTCTGTACATGTTGTGTTTAAGGGCGAGGAAAGTGCTGAATCCAAGATCAAGGCTTTGGATGAAATGCATCAAAAATATAAATTCATGGAGAATTCGCTTTCTGTCAGGTGGGAGCTTAATTGATTCACCGAAATAGGGTTGATTGACTCAGGAGTAAAACGACCTAGGGTCAAATGATCCAGGGTCAAACGACAAAGGGTAAAACAATCTTGGGTCAAACCACATTGGGTTAAACGATCTAGAGTAAAATGCCAAAGGGTCAAACGACATAGGGTTGCCTTGGTAACATAGGGTCAAATACGCGACCAAAGGTAAAACGACCTATAAAAGGACATAGGGAATAAAAGTGCGATACTCGGGCAACCTGAAGTGTATCAATTACTCTCAGAAAAATTCAAATCAATTGTTATTATATTGTAAATTTTAGAAATTTTAAAGTATTGCATTGTATTCAATTGGAATGATGTCAGACTTTAAGTGTTTCTAACGTTGCCATTGAGAAAGAAAATTCAGTATTTGTTTTCCTTAGAAATTCTTGACATAATTATCGAATCCCATCAAATCTTTTAACAGTATTGATGATACATTTTAATTAATTGAAAATTGTTAATGTTTAAATTAAGTTTTTTAGTGCGACACCCAAAATATGTTTTTACAAGATTATTTATATTACTGAAGCAATCACTTTAAAAAATTTAAAATTAGACATTTTAAGTCAAGTTTTTCATTCTATTTTATATTTGATACTTCCTTAGAATATTCCTAAAGTCTTTTTTTCCTCCACAAATACTTTATTTTCCACAATTTAACAAATAAACAAAATTTAGGAAAGATTTTTTGCATTTTGACGAGGTTCTAGACAGCTCAAAGATATGTCTAAAATACGTTTTCAAAAATATTTTTTTTCTTATTTGTATCTGATTATGCCGACTCTAAATCGTCCAAAGACCAATCTCTCAACAGTCTTCACATAAATTTTAAGTTTTGAAAGCAAAAAATCCATGAAAGGGACTGTAAGCGTAATTTTAAGTGACCTTCCATTTACAGAGATGCATGTCCGATTCACAACGGTACTCTTTAAACCTTTGTCCGGACAACGATGAGGTAGATACCCTTATTTGTAAAGCTGATGATTGAGTACCGAAAGAGAAGACTTGATTTTTCAGTGTACACTCGAGGGGTTTCTTGACACCTAACTTCCCGCCATATAAACAAAAATATCAACGAAATCCTTGATTAGATAAAGGTTTAAAGGGTATCATTGTAAATCTGACATGCCACTTAACAAATGGATGGCCACTTAAAATTACGCTAAAAGTCCCTTTAAACAGTTTTATTTGTATCAGACGTAAGAAGTTGCGGACCCAGGTTCCTGACATAAAGAGTTCCCTTGTCATGATAAAGAAATTGAGAGAGAAGAAGGAGGAAGGTGAAACCCTGGACACGCAGTTCCTTCTCTCAGAACAGGTTAGATTCACTCATTAAAGGGACTGTAGACGTATTTCAAGTGGCCCTCCGTTATTACTCGATTCACAGCGGTGCTATTTGAATTTATAAGTTACTTCCGCATTTTCTTTATTGTCTCAATGATAAGATTTAAGTGAATTTACATCCGTTCTAGAAACACAAATCTCTTGCTCATTGTAAATTCGAAACAGGGCTAAAGGCTTTAAAAGTTTAAAATTGAGGTTACGTCAAATACGAATCCCCTTCACCCCCCTCCCCTCCGCTATTCACGACTAGCGTCCATCCCTCTATAAGAAATTGTAGAATAATTATAAAATTATGCGTAAGCAAGCACAGTAATTAAATTTAATGTTTTTATTGAAATACCACTTTCCACTAAGTTTTAATTTTAGTTTAAAAACCAGGTTTTTTTTATCGTTTCACGTTTCTTGTCGGAAGTTTATCGTTTTCTATTATCAATTGTACTGCGTATTTTGATTTTATCAATTGTGCAGCTGAACTATACTATGTATATAAAGAATGTCGGCGACAATCCCTTCAAAAATTGTTTAGGTGTACGCTAAAGCCAAGATTCCACCAACCGACAAGGTTTGCCTATGGCTGGGAGCTAATGTTATGCTGGAGTATACCCTAGGTAATTATTCATATTCAAACTTTTAAGCTTCTCTGACGTTGTTTGGTAATCCTGCTGTTCTGGAAAGTTTTCTTATTCTAGTATTATAGGGAGTGACCGGCTATGTAAGGTAATTGAACTGGGTATGCAGTGTTGTAGAAAACTTCTTTCGGATTCGTTTGAGACAATTTATCTTTCTAAAGATCTGTAAATCCTGAGATTGAGAGCAAATTCCACGTTCAAAACTCCTACTTTGGGGTGGATACGTTATCAGAATTAGTTTTTTTAAATTATTAAATAACGACAACGAAAAATATAGTAAAAATTATACAGTAATCTAATTAGATGGTTAGGAACGTATTTCTCAAAAGAAATTTGTCAATAAATCAATGCTAAAATCGACTATTTCGTTTTCATCATTATATTGAATTTCTTATTTTCTTTGAATTTATTCGCAGATTTCTTCAAATTTTTCAAATGTCGTCTTTTCAATAATAATTCTAGAAAATCTGCAAAAAATCTTTGTGAATAATGAGAAACCAGAATAATGACAAAATAGAAACTAATAACTGAACAAGATTACTTATTTTCGATGGTAAGATTAATTTTTTTTTTTAACCTGTTCCGATACATGACTTGTATTTTATTGTAGAAGTTTTTACATTTTATGTCGTCGTTATTTAATAATTAAAAAAAAACTAATTCTGAAAACGTAACCACCCCCAAAGTAGGGGTTTTGAACGTGGAATTTGCGCTCAAAATCAGGATTTACAGATTTTTAAAAAGATTGCGTAATATGAAAAATTAATAATTTTAAGAGAAAGAGAGAAGACGTTTTTGGTATAAAAAAATTGTAGTTTACTTCTTCATAACACTAGAATCTTCGATCTTTGGGTACCGTTTCTTAACTCTGATTGATTGATTGGTTGATTGATTGATTGCCTCAACGAAGGGGTGGTGTGTAGGGGAATAACTAAAAAATACAAATCCCTGACTTGAAATGATTTCCGATTTCCGTTTGTCCTCTAATATTGAAACTGTTACAGAAGATGCGGAGGCCCTGTTGTCTAAGAACCTTGAGTCTGCTGAACAGAATCTCAAGCAGATTGGGTTTGATCTGGACTATCTCAGGGACCAGATGACAAACACCGAGGTAAGAGGTTGCAGGAGTTTTTATTTCTAAAAAAATCCCCTTCCTCGGGGGGG